GATGATCTATCGAACTCTGGTGAGATCCCGATTAGAATATGGAAGTTTCCTTATGCAAAACCTGACTGAAAAATTGGCCTCACGCATGGACAAAATTCAAATCCGCGGTCTTCGAACTGTTATGGGTTATAGACAAAGTACTCCCATAAATGTCATTTATAGCGAATCAAAAGAACCACCGTTGTCTACCAGAAAACAGTTTTTCTTTAAAAGTTTTTTAACTCGCCAAGCCACTTGGGAAGGATCAGCTTTACTTAACATAATAGAACTAGTAAGAGAAGAAACATTATCCCCTATTTTTATTAACCGAGAGGTAAACAACCCATTTATATCTTCCTTTATAGAAGTGGAGGAGAAAGTGAGACTATTGCCGAGGACAGAGATTCCATTGTGCTATTCTGAGACTTTCAGCGCTCTAAAAGAACTAATATATGTCAATGTAATAGATGGAAAAGATATTACACAACACGGAAGTAAGGCAGAAAAAGAATTCAATCAATCACAGCAATCTTTCAAGAAGAGATTAATCCATATCAATGCCTTTTCACGGATGGCTCAAAAATGGAAGAAATGCCTTTTGCGGGGTACGCAATCACTTCATTAGAAAATTCTATAGTTCTAAAGTATAGGACAGCTAGTCTCGTATCTTCTTTCTGTGTGGAATCTATGGCCGTTCTCCGAGTAGTAGAACTGTGTGCAGAACAAAAGTAGCCCCATGTGGCTATCTTCTCAGACTCTAAATCGGTGCTATGTGCGATAGGGTCTTAATACAATCTTCGGCAAAGCTCGCACATAATTCTACATATTAAAGCTCTAATTATAAAACTAAAGAATAGTGAGAACATGAACATTAGATTGATATGGATTCCTAGTCATAGAGGCATTATTGGCAATGAAAGGACAGACAGTCTAGCCAAGGAAACAATATACCAGGTGTAGAAGTATGAAACCGGAATTCCCCTATAAATGGTGCCAGCGTTCAGTTTAGTGACCGTAAGACCGCTACTGCCGCGCTATTATATTCTCCTAACAGCTGACGAATATTGTCAACAAACATAACCCCAACTTTCATTCTCTAGTATATTTTTGTATAACCTTAAACATGTCACGTTTCGAGCCTACTAACTATGATTTGCGGACAGCATTGATTTTCTGTTATCATTTAAAGAAAACTGCTGCAGAATCACATCGAATGCTTGTCGAAGCTTACGGTGAATATGCTCTTGGTAAATCTCAGTGTTTCGAGTGGTTTAAAAAATTCAAAAGTGGTGATTTTGACGTGAGGAACGAAGAACTATGAACTATGAACTATGAACTATGAACTGCTGAAACCTGGTCAAACCGTCAATACTAATCGCTACCAACAACAAATGATCGATTTAAATCGAACATTGACTAAAAAACGACCAGAATATGCAAAAAGGCAACACAATGTCATTTTGCTCCATGATAATGCCCCATCACATACAGCAAAACGGGTCAAGGAAACGATCGAGTCGTTCAGTTGGGAATTACTACCGCATGCGGCTTATTCTCCAGACTTGGCTCCGTCCGATTATCACCTGTTCGCATCGCTAGGACACGCTCTCGCTAACCAACGCTTCGATTCGTATGAAAATGTGGAAAAATGGCTAGATAACTGGTTCGCTTCAAAAGATGAAAAGTTTTTTTGGCACGGCATTCATAAACTGCCAGAGAGGTGGGAAAAATGTGTTCAAAACAGTGGAAATTATTTTGAATAAAGTATTATTTATCACTTTCGAACAACAGACGTCTTATTTGTATAAAAAAATTCCGGTTTCATACTTCTACACCTGGTATGATGAAAAAGATATTGAAATAGGTATCCCCACCGAAGAATTAATCAATCTGTGGAGAAAACAGATGCGTGGGAAAGCGCACAGTTGGGTGATTAAAGAATCTGACAGTTGAGGTAAATTTTACTGTAACAACTTTATAAAAGACTCCAAAAACGTATGGTTCAATAATTTAGGTATAGACAGAAGAACAATTACCTCCATTAATAGACTTCGTAGTGGTCACACTTCGCTTAGAGCAAGCCTCTATCGCTTTGATATTGTTGACTCTCCATTATGAAATGTGGTGTTTTAGAAACCCCTGACATTTTCTGGGAATGTAAAAGCTACATAAGACAATGGAAAGATTTGCAAAAAGACCTTGTGAAAGCACGAGGCTTCCTCCCTCACTGCGTTAACTATTTACTAGTAACACTAGATAAAGACATCATTTATGTTTTGAACCGATTTTTTTGTTCAATTGAGAAATATATTTAATTTCTAAGTGTTCATTATTTTAAGCCGTTATGGTAAACATAATACGTTTCTTTATTCACTTTTTTAAAAAACTTTTAATTACATGAAAAAGTACGAATACAATTATAAATCATTATCCGGGTATGGATAAAATTTTATTTTAATCAATACATAGGGCTATGATTAGAGAAGTGCCTAGTAGCGTAGATTATAGTTTATTATAAGTTAAGTATATGCAGACTTAGCGTAAACTTACCGTGCAATTATAACTTATCCCTATTTTTAATTTAATTATAAATTTATAAATTTTAATTTTAGTTCGCGCTATGCTTTTTTATTTCTATGTATTGTCGTTCTTTAACTATAAAAAGTACCTTTATTGATAGACGCCCATCAGGACGTAAACAAATTACAACGAAAATCACAGAGGTATTACTTTAAGTTTGTCATTATGTATTTTCTGTGATAGAAGAAAACTAGATTGTTATACGTTAATAACGGTGCTGTAAACTTTGGTACATACCTACCTATACATATCTATCAGCTTTAGCGTAAGATAGAGAATAAGAAACCAAAAATGTATTTTTTGCACCTGTACGGCTAAATGGGCTAGAATCCTAAGACCAAACCTTTTTTACGAAATAAAAAAAAAAGTTTTCCGTTTCGTAATAGAGAGCGACGATTTTTCCAAATCGAAAAGTTTTTTGCTTTTAAAAACGAGTCGATTGAGTATTTTTTCGTCAAAATCGGAGGTGAGGAGTGTAAACTATATAATTGCCAAATTTTTCATTGGATGACTAGGCCAAATTCATCTTGCATATTTTCGTACTGAAAGTATCATTCTATCTTTTTCACACATTACATGCTGAAGGAAGAGAGGATAATACTTCTGTACGAAAGCGTGCAAGACGAATTTAGTCTTAGAAAGAATTATGATGTATATTTACTTAATCTAACCTAACTTAATTTAACCTATATATGAGCGCGCGCGCACGCTGATTGTGCACAATATGGGTATGAGTATGTGTATAGATAGAGTGTATAGATGAATATACTGAGGACATCCCATAGATATTCCTATAATATCTTAGACGATATTCTTAGTATATACTGAGAAGCAAGAAAAGGGTGACATAGGAGCGTTCTTAGTATGTTTTCAGTATTTGCAGTAACGTATCTCGAATATTTTGAGAATATACGTAATATACTTTTACGATATTCGTAGAACATTTTGAGAATGTATTTGTGCTGTTAGGGATGTAGTAAATCTTTTTTTTTCATGTAGAAATTTTATCAAACAATTTTACAGAAATTGCGTAAGTTCATGCATACGTTTACAAAAGTTCGCTTTATCTTGTCCCCCGCTTGTCGAAACAAATCGGTGTTGTTCATTGAATCGTCGTCGTGTTTGTGAAAGCTATTCGCATAGATGTTCACGAGTTTATTTGAATAGCGACGTTAGCGACGTCAGCAGATAGTTGGGCGACGTCAGCAGATAGTTTGGCGCGAATACGATGATCAGCGTTCCACAGTATGTTTCAAGGAAATATAAACTTTCTTACGTGAACTATTTTGGTCGCGGTTTTGGTCAAGTTTATTTACAAGTCTTACGTTCTTACGATGTGATATACAATTATTCGATTTATATTACTCGACATCATAGAAATCTCCTAGATAAATTCTCACGATGTATTGAATAATTTATCATATATGATAGAAATAATTTTTTTTTTTAAAGAATGTTGATTTAAATGTTAGCAGAAATGAAACGAGAATATAAAGGTAGTACGAAAGATAGAGTAGAAAAATGAGTAAAATAAAAAAGAGTAAAATAGCATGAGTAGAAAGAAAGTAAAAAAATTGGCACACAGAGTGTTCAAACTACGAGGAAGGAGTATTAAAATTATTAATTATTAATTATTGTATGTGATATCAAGTAGAAAGTTTATACAGTTATTTCAATTTCGACTTGAGTCGATACAGGTTTCGTTAGATAAACTCAGGAAATACACATTATTCGAGTATAAATGTAGAATCTTAAAATACTTATAAACATTAGAGATGTTATAATTTTACATATAAGAATTCCGCGATAATTTCCGTTTTATTATGAAAGCTTACATTAATGAGATTCGAAAAGAGAAATTAGATGGATAGTCTAAGTAGAACATAGCAATCAGGTTATAACTAATGCTATGTATCTTCATTTATATCCCATTTAAACGTTATCTCGTTTATCGTTTCAAACAGAGCGATGTAAATTAATTTATTATTTCATGCTAAGGTAAATGTCCCAATTAGAGGCACACTTAATTTTTCATGAAAGTAAACACAAAATTAAAAGAATCACATCATTTTCAATACAAAATCTATCACTTGTAAATAAAAAATAGAACTTTTATTTGTGCTACAGTCATATATTTTCGGTATACAAACGTACTTTTTTAGTAATTTAATTGGAAAATTGAAATCAATGTCTTAGTTAATGACACTTTCAGTTTTAGGCTGTCCCAATTAATAACACAACAACGGTAACAAAGACCGTGTCAGTGAGTGGGATAGTGTAGTATTATTACACGTTCCCTATTATTGACTAATACTATGTGATATATTTCCCTTATAGAAATATCATACTAAGAATCATTGATAATTACTTATTACCCAGTATTTTTAATACTGAAAATAAGTAATTATCAATGATTCTTAGTATGATATTTCTATAAGGGTTGCCCCAAATAGTTACAATGATTCCATTATTGCTTACTTATTTAGTTTTATTTGTGAATGAAATAAGTCTAACTGTTCTTACTCTAATTAATTTATTAAATTGTATTTGATATTCATAAGTTAGGATTAGTATTTTCGAACATTCTTGAAACGTAAATAAAATATGTCAATAATTGGTACAAAATAATGACGGTTGTCCCGATTTCTGGCTCTTCCTTCCTTCCTTGTCAGGTTATGTCGACGTAAATATTATATTGTAGATTAAGTTACACATTTGAAACACATTTATCGATGAAAAAACTATAGGCTCTAGGAATTTCTACATATTCATTCAAAAAGTACAGAATTAACATTCTTTACATTATTTTATATTGGCCTGTCAGTGATTGGGACATTATCGTATTCTTGTGTATTAATTAGTGACAACCAGATTTTAATCCGAAATATTAATCTACTAACATATTCATTTACTTATTCAGTTCACAGTAATCTTTAATAATTTGTTTAATGTTATTTTAATACTTCAAAGCAACATGAATGCTCAAAATTATTATATTTGATCATGCTCGTCATTCACAATGTCTTATAAGCTGTCGGCCATGAAATACATAAGAAAGCTTAAAAGTCAATGTACTTTATATTATAATTACAAGGTATTTGAAAGATGATAGACTTTGCGATGAAACTATTACAAAAAATAATAAATGACCAGCAGAATATTTTTAAAATATTATATTATATTGAAGTATGAAGAAGTCAATCTGAGATTTTGTAATGTAAAATATTTTCAAAGTGTCACTAACTAGGATATTGTTATTAACTGGAATATTTACCTTATTCGCGATTATAATTATAGGATTGATGTAAATGTAGATTCATTACTAATTAAGTTCAATGTTGAAAAAAAAATAAGAAATGAAATTAAGTGCGCCGTTACTTTTTATATAATTATTGCGTCAAGCAATTTACACACACAACTTTAAGTTCGATTGTTATTATTATGCAAGAAATAATATTAAACGAGAATACGAAGTTGCGTTACGTTGTGATAACTTCGTGACATATTTAATGGCACGGATGAGACTCAGCTGCTAGCTGTTATTAAATTTTCTGTGCGTACTCGCGCTGTAAAGAAACACGAACATTTTCGGCAGCGACACATTTCGTGTTGTTTGTGCGTGTGTAGTTTTGCAGTGGTTGGTGCACGCACTTCGCGCCTCGCTTCGCTTCGTGAGCAGCTGCACAGGCGTCGAACGAGCGACCGAAAATAAATCCCACGGAGAATCCCCGTATGTTTTAAATAAAGCGAGCGCACGCGATAGCCGAAGCCGGTCAGCGCGACGGACTCTCCGTTCGCGCGCGTTCTCGCCTCTCTCGCGAGTCGCGAAAAAATATCGTGTCCGCGCGCCAGGCGTTCTACGTGCAGCAGCAATAATAGCAGCTCGGTAAAAATATTGTGTTGCCACTGTGTTCGAATAACGATTGAAATTCACCGTTCTGCCGTTTGCGTTCTTTTGCGATCGATGTGACCGATCGATCGATCGTCCCCCCCCCCCCCCCC